GTTTTCTTTTTTCAGTGGGCTCCAGTCCGCCCAAAAACTGCGAGACTGGCCCGTTTTCTGATCAAAACGATCTTGTATGGCATTTGGAAATTTCGCAATAATTCTACTTTTCGCAATGGAAATGAAAGTCATGAAGGTATAATCCGTTATATCCTCAATGATATCAAGAGAAGAATTCTCTGTGACCACCTTCTTCTCTGTTTATCTGACTTTAAGAATTCATGGGAAGCTCCAGCACTGTGTCAAGTAACTAATAGTACTATCAAAATTCTTGTGTAAATGGCTGATTTAGTAACTAATTTAACAATTAGATTAAATGTTTAATGGTAGGTTAATTTCCTTTTGGTTATTTTCTCTAAATTATCCCTAGTTATATCTTTCCTTAGTTAAAGGTTATGCCAATAATAGCCTTATTTAAATTATCTTTATGTGTAGTTTAAAACTATCTTAGGAGATACATATAAGCTATATCTTGTAAATTGTCGATTAGCTTTACTGTTATATTAATACTAAATTAAGATTATCGTTAGTTATATCATTATTGTTAGCTATTTACGCCTCTTTTTATCAAATAGTTTAAATTCAAATTCTAGAATTATCTTTACTTGTAGCGTAGAATTATCCGAGTTTAAACTACGACTCCCTCTAGATATGTATGAACTTTATCTTCAGGACCTTTTTTGGACTTTGAATACTTTATTTTGCTTACTAGTCTTTAGTTAGTGCCAAGCCCATGTGCTGTCTGCGCTTTTATTTTGTAATTAGTGACTTATTAAAAATAAATCCTTTTCAAAACTTAAAAACTGTCTGCAGCTATAGTTTACTCTAGTGTGAGCACTCTGGCATGGCTTAGACGATACCACAAAGGTTGGGTCGTTTGGGGTGACCGTCTCGGTTCTACCCCATCCTAGCATCAGCACTGCACTGATGAGGCCCAGAAGGCCGAACAGTACTGCCTGCAGTTATTTGTATATATNATAAAAAAAAAATTAGAGATAGACAACCTTTGCCTTTCCGATGCTTGTGTTTAAAAAATCATCCGGAGCAAATTAATAATTCAAGAGTTCGTCTAGCCCGGCAATCGATTTAAGAATTGATTCATGCTTAGCGTGCGTATATCGAGTAATGGATGCACGTGGGAAGTTTGGAGAGCACAAAAGAAGCGCAAGGGTTGTTCGAGGCGCAGCTGAGAGTAATTCTAGCTTCTATCGGTTTACCGGCTGATAAACCACGCGGGATGTTGGAGAACACGGGAAAAGTTTTTAAACCACCACACGCAGCCGAGTGATTTACAGAATTTTCGAATCATCGTCAAGGAAGGACCTTGAAGCCTTTCTCTAGCTTGCTATCGTAGCTTAATTAAATGCGACTTGTATGTGTTCTAGTATTACGTTCACCGGCAGGTCAATCACTCACGGGGTGCTACTTCCATTCAACTGCACAATGTTGTCGAAAGCGAAGGCGAAGATTGAAATATTCTTAACGGTGCATTCCGAGACATTTGCATGTTCTTTCACTGAGAGGTCGTAAGCGTTTGAACTATTTTGAGGCACTTTTCTGTCTTTTTCAGTTGACGTTTTGCCTTGAAAATTGAACGGCACTGAATTGGTTTAACGGAAAGAACTTCCAACAAAAATCGCACGCCGTCGACCATGTAGCCGTGAATGATCCACGAATAAGAAACATTGCCTCTGAAATACATCACTTCGTGGATAAACCTTTGCAATTCTACTTGTGCGCATGCAACTGCCAAATAAAGCTTTATATACTGGTCAGCGGATTAAAAAAATTAAAGAGGAATCGAAGGAAGAACAGATCTAACGATTATGATTAGCGATTCAAGCTTAGTGTACAACACTGTAAACTTTGCCGGTGATTGTTCTTCAGTTGGGCCCACCAAGGTTAGCTGGTAAGTCAAAAACGGCCTCTTTACAAAATTAATTTGGAAAATATTTCGTTGAAATGTTCTCATAACAAAGACGGCTTTCAATTGCATCATTGTGAGCTTGAATCTATTCGTGTTAGTTTATCTAGTCCCTACGTCCACAATCTCATAGGTTTTTGAAAACTGTACCTTCGCTGCTCTTCTAATATCTCAGCTGCTTGTAATAAATCGAGTCTATTCTCTTCGACTGTTAATCAGCCTGCCGTTTTCATGCGCTCGAATTTTTAAAAAACGAAAAGAACCACCGCTCTGACTTCGCACTTAGCCAATCAGAGCTAGCGTTATTTCGGCCACAAGCTTAAGTCATCAAATAAATTACATTAATTTTGTCAAATACGGAGTGCTAGGATAGTGATAAGCATAAATTTCCTATTTTGAAAAACTGAGGTATCGATGAACACAAGGAAGACATGAACGTTTAATAGTATGTTTCCATGGACTATAAAAACGCCTTCGAAGATATCAATTGTGATTTTAACTTTGGTCCTTAAAGTTAAAACTTTTAGATTATGTTGTTCTATTCTTAATGACAAATTATTACATTGAATTATAGATCAAATTCAAATACTGATAACGATAGGTACTGGATTTCCTCAAGCTGTTAGTATATATATATATATGAATTCTGTATACGAGGGAAACCCTGACCCTGTACACCCCAAATAATCATACTTAAATAGAGAACATGTTTGAAAGGAAATTTGCCCTGAGTGGGATTTGAACCCACGTCCCCCTGTTACTAGTCAGGTGTGATGACCTACACTATCAGGACAACCATGCTGGTAACACGGCAATCGAAGATGTGATTTACGTGATCGGAGACGTGGTCTCCCGGGAAATTTAATTTTCAAGGTGACGGGGTAGCATGGTTGTCCTGATAGTGTAGTGGTCATCACACCTGACTTGTAACAGGTGTATGATTGTTTGGGGTGTACAGGGTCAGGGTTTCGCTCGTATACAGAATTTGTTTAATTGAAATTAGCCTGTATCCGTAATTGGATCCTCCTTTGTCATCCGCTAAGTTGACTTCGGTCGTTTATCTTTAATAGGTCCTTAGTTGGGTTTCATATGGGGTTGTAGGCTTCCCCTACCCTGTCACCTTGAAAATTAAATTTCCCGGGAGACCACGTCTCCGATCACGTAAATCACATCTTCGATTGCCGTGTTACCAGCATGGTTGTCCTGATAGTGTAGGTCATCACACCTGACTAGTAACAGGGGGACGTGGGTTCAAATCCCACTCAGGGCAAATTTCCTTTCAAACATGTTCTCTATTTAAGTATGATTATTTGGGGTGTACAGGGTCAGGGTTTCCCTCGTATACAGAATTCATATATATATATATACTAACAGCTTGAGGAAATCCAGTACCTATCGTTATCAGTATTTGAATTTGATCTATAATTCAATGTAATAATTTGTCATTAAGAATAGAACAACATAATCTAAAAGTTTTAACTTTAAGGACCAAAGTTAAAATCACAATTGATATCTTCGAAGGCGTTTTTATAGTCCATGGAAACATACTATTAAACGTTCATGTCTTCCTTGTGTTCATCGATACCTCAGTTTTTCAAAATAGGAAATTTATGCTTATCACTATCCTAGCACTCCGTATTTGACAAAATTAATGTAATTTATTTGATGACTTAAGCTTGTGGCCGAAATAACGCTAGCTCTGATTGGCTAAGTGCGAAGTCAGAGCGGTGGTTCTTTTCGTTTTTTAAAAATTCGAGCGCATGAAAACGGCAGGCTGATTAACAGTCGAAGAGAATAGACTCGATTTATTACAAGCAGCTGAGATATTAGAAGAGCAGCGAAGGTACAGTTTTCAAAAACCTATGAGATTGTGGACGTAGGGACTAGATAAACTAACACGAATAGATTCAAGCTCACAATGATGCAATTGAAAGCCGTCTTTGTTATGAGAACATTTCAACGAAATATTTTCCAAATTAATTTTGTAAAGAGGCCGTTTTTGACTTACCAGCTAACCTTGGTGGGCCCAACTGAAGAACAATCACCGGCAAAGTTTACAGTGTTGTACACTAAGCTTGAATCGCTAATCATAATCGTTAGATCTGTTCTTCCTTCGATTCCTCTTTAATTTTTTTAATCCGCTGACCAGTATATAAAGCTTTATTTGGCAGTTGCATGCGCACAAGTAGAATTGCAAAGGTTTATCCACGAAGTGATGTATTTCAGAGGCAATGTTTCTTATTCGTGGATCATTCACGGCTACATGGTCGACGGCGTGCGATTTTTGTTGGAAGTTCTTTCCGTTAAACCAATTCAGTGCCGTTCAATTTTCAAGGCAAAACGTCAACTGAAAAAGACAGAAAAGTGCCTCAAAATAGTTCAAACGCTTACGACCTCTCAGTGAAAGAACATGCAAATGTCTCGGAATGCACCGTTAAGAATATTTCAATCTTCGCCTTCGCTTTCGACAACATTGTGCAGTTGAATGGAAGTAGCACCCCGTGAGTGATTGACCTGCCGGTGAACGTAATACTAGAACACATACAAGTCGCATTTAATTAAGCTACGATAGCAAGCTAGAGAAAGGCTTCAAGGTCCTTCCTTGACGATGATTCGAAAATTCTGTAAATCACTCGGCTGCGTGTGGTGGTTTAAAAACTTTTCCCGTGTTCTCCAACATCCCGCGTGGTTTATCAGCCGGTAAACCGATAGAAGCTAGAATTACTCTCAGCTGCGCCTCGAACAACCCTTGCGCTTCTTTTGTGCTCTCCAAACTTCCCACGTGCATCCATTACTCGATATACGCACGCTAAGCATGAATCAATTCTTAAATCGATTGCCGGGCTAGACGAACTCTTGAATTATTAATTTGCTCCGGATGATTTTTTAAACACAAGCATCGGAAAGGCAAAGGTTGTCTATCTCTAATTTTTTTTTTATTCATAAACCTATCTTTTAACTAAAAAAATATATGTGTACTGTAGGATTTGTGCAGTGCTATGCCCTAAACGTCGGTTTGAAACCTTAACTGATACACACCATAGAATTTTTGTTCGTATTAACCGACCTAATGGATTTTCCCGTCTTCCTTTTGACCACTTTTGCATATCTTACCATTTGCTTCTTCCAGTTTTTGTACTCTTGTATCAATCTCTTCTAAAGCTTTTTCCATTTCTTAAAAGTAAAAAACAAAAGGTTAGAAGCTGAATAATTTGGTAAACCAGGAGACAAGCATGGAGAGCAATCTTTCCGTTGTCCTACTATAGTGAAACATTCGATGTCTCCAAAACAAAATCGCGCTTGGTCAAGCGATTCACAATATCTTCACTCTTCTTTTCCGTCTCTAAACTGATCAAATTTCCTTTTCTTTTCCTTAGACATTTTTCCGAAAAACACACACTTAAAAGTACAATAATTCCCAAAATACTTTGTAAATATTCACTGAAAGCAGAACGCCATTTTCAAACAACGGTTTTCCCTGTGTCCGAAACACGCGTAAGGGTATGAGGTTTGTGAAATCATAACGGAACGGATAGAGTCAATGTTTTGGGCGAGTGGAATGGCTTTTTCTCTTTTAATAGTGCCTTAGAAAACTTCATCGTAACTAAAGTTAACAAAATCAAAACTAACCGTTGCGGAATTGAGTCTTTAACACTATGCTTGCGAATACCGAGTAAAAGGTGTAAAGCAGAGAGACATTTCGTTTTTATTACCGTCAAGTCCCAACAGATCATTTCTATGCTGTTGTTGCTCTTCTTCTAAATGATTCGCTGACTGATCAACTTTATCTTCGAAAGTTGAAATCTCACCAATCGCTTCCTCGTATGATTCTTCCATATCTGGGGAAATAAAACTAAAGCCAACGAATATTGAAAGTCATTTCTGACCACAAAGAAATTATAATTTCTTGTGACTAAAACATTTTTAAACCTTTTCAATAGATATGTTTTCGTTTAAAGCTTTCTTGTAAAGCAAAAACCGTTTCGATAGAATATAAGAAAACTACCTATTTCATTAGGGAAAGTCCTAAGAAGGGCTTGAGATAATACAGTGCCTGTTTTGTTTTGTTTTGTTTTTTAACCTTTTCAAGTTGGTGCTCAGTTCAAATGTAACTTTCCTTTTGGTTTTGCAAATTTTCGAAAAATAGTGGCGCTGAGGGTCTCAAACGACCTACAGTTACAGAATTAAAAAAACTGAAAAACTCTTTTTTTTTCTTCATAGGGGTACGTAAGCTATGACATATGAAAAGATTAACCGAGACATGTATTCAGTATAAGTTTTGGACTTAAGTCGCCTTAAGTCGCCTTAAGTTGCTGTTGGTTACACAGCATTAAAAGGGTTTATAATTATAAATTATAATTTGCCAGTTTATATAGCGCATATTTACATGTGCTGATCAATAGCGCTTATTAGATATTGTTGTTAAGGCTGAAATCAGACGTCAGTATATCAGGCGCCTCTGGCAGCTGCTTCAGTCCATGTAACAATCTCACCTTCCCCCACCCATCCCCCAAATACCCACCCATCCCACCCCAGGGGAGGACATCCACCACACAGTAATCTCGTGCATGGGAAATTAACATCTCCTACCCCTAACCCTGCAGGAGACGGGGCCTACGGTTTATTCGTCCTTATCCGAGAAGGCTAGAATATCTATTCATTTCTTGTTATCGAAAGGTAGCAAATTCTCCTCAGTTGTTTTAAGACCATGAGTATTGGTCCGGCCGGGGCTGGAACCCTCGACCTCCCGCACAACACAATCCCGTGCTCTAACCAACTGAGCTAACCGGTAGGAGGGTTCCACCCTAATCCCAATTGACCCCATTCACTACAGTCTCATCATAAGGATCACAGGAGGAGGCATGGTGGCTGAATTGTTAGTGCACTGGACTGGACATTAGTTCAGGTTTGGTGTCTAGTGTTGGAGCATTTCATTATGTTCTTGGGCAAGGTACTGTAAGCTCAAAGTGCCCCACCTTTACCAGGTGTAGATATGGGTGAAACTTCCATAATTAGTCTTTATGAAATGAATGCGTAATTAATGTATGAGGTCATATGGAACTCTTTCCACAGCTTTCTGTTTCGAAAAACTTTCTGTCTTGTATTTATTGATGAAAAAGTTGATAAAAGGGTTGACACTGTATTATTATCAGGATATGATAAATATTGAATCACATAAAACCTACAGTATCAGATCATCAAGATAAAACGATAGAAAGGTATTCTGGAGAAAGGCTCAATTCTTACCACTCACTTATACCTTGAGCAGTATAAATAACATTATCGAAAGTCAGCTAAATTTAACTGAAGCTAAATTTTATCCACTTAACCTACCCAGAGTAAAAGAATGACAAAAGTGGGCCGTTTCTCAAGGATAAACTTTTTGATCTGTACTAGGTACTTCCACCATAGTATTCGACCAGCTGAAAGATCTCAATTTTGTAGCTCGACGAACCTACTAAAGGCGCAAATATTTATCTATCCTGAGACTTTCATAGTCTTTTTGTACATTTCTTATTCGTCAGTTTGATGATCGACACACATGAACTACTTCTGAGCCAAGAAAAGCCTTTTACAGCAAACATGGCTGCCAGAAATATTTGATCACGTGACTTAAGTTTTGTCCCGTGACCAAAGTGCACCTGAGAACAAAACACACGCGAGCCTGCTGAAAAGCATACAGAGAAATTTATCTGTGCAAAAAAAAGAAATTCATCAAAGAGTTTTAAAAAAATTCACTCTGAAAGTTAAACTGGACGACCGCTTCAATGAAAACACCACGCACGTGCTTTTCCCCCGTGGAGTAGATTATCAATATGGCCTGCATTCTTTCCGATCCGTACCCACCGAAAAATTCCGCCTCGTGTCTATTGACTGGTAACCTGCTTGCATTGCGGAAAGAAATGGCAAATTCTAGGTAAAGTGAAGGAAATTTTTCGGTAATAGCAGATAGCATGGGCGTACTTGGCCCGAGAAACCCTAAAATGTCGTTCCGCTCTTAACTTCGAAGCATGGAAACTAGTTAGCGGCGCATAGGTTGCTGGGAGAATTAAAATGGCGGAGACTACAGAGCCAGTTATCATCTTGGAGAATTTCGTTGTGACTCGTTAATTTCTGGACAGGTGTGAGGTAACAATGAATGCTTTTAAACCTATGATACTGCCACCAGTCTAAAGATAAAACTTGAATGCTTAGAAGGTCCTGCTGATTCGATCAACAGTGGAGAAAGACCTTAGCATGTGGTTCTCAGTATGGTATTGGAGTGTTTGTCTAACTTAGGCAGGGGAACAACAAATTGGTTGGGTCCCTGTAAAGGAATGTGCAATTTTGGATGCTGTTGGAAAGACATGCCACTTGCCAAACTTTCATGCCAAAATTGACAATGCGAGTGGCAAAAATATGGGAGACAAGTTTACCAAGGTAACAATTTATATAATTTGTAAGGCTTTGTGAAATAATTAATAATCAAGTTATTTTTAATTAATTACGTGGGAAATGTATTGATAGTTTTTTGTAAATCATGTCTCTTTTCTGAAATTAAAAATGTGTGTCTTTATGTGTATATTTTTGATAGGTTTGTTTAATGTTGGGCATATAACCCATAATGTGTTCCTGGCTATTTATCCACTAGCTTTGTATAATTTAACAATAACTGTTGTAGTAATTCTGTCTAAACATTTTAAGCTAAATTGGTTTCCCGGCTATTTATTCGCTAGCTTTGACTATATAATTTAACAATAACTGTTGTGGTAATTCTGTCAAAACATTTTAAGCTAAATTGGTTTCCTGGCTATTTATTCACTAGCTTTGACTGTATAATTTAACAATAACTATTGCGGTAATTCTGTCTAATTATTTTTAGGTAAATTGGTTTGAAATCTGGATATTTTAGATTATGGTGACTTATGGCCATACAAAAGTAACCAAAATGACTATTGTGTTTATTGCAAGGGATTCTGTTAATATTTTCAAGGTTTATGAGAGACTGCTGCTAACTTTGATTTTATCACTTCAGTCAAGTAAAATCACTTTAAGTCGCCTTAGTCGCCTTAAGTTGCCTTAAGTCGCCTAAAGTTGCAATGTTTTTTCTGTTAATCTTGCTTAAGTCGCCTTAAGTTGCCTTAAATCGCCCAAAGTCGCCCAAAGTTACGGCGACTTAAGGCCCCAGAGAAGGCCTTAAGGGAATTCTACTTGAATCAACCATTGGAAGATATTAAGTTCTTTCAATCAAACCCCCTCGATCTCTCTCTCGCGAAACATCCTTCTCATGAAACAACTCAGGCTTCAAGGGTAGCGATCAGAGGATACGCTTTCTCAGCTTGCGTTTTTATCGTCTTCACCGGAAGATGTCATCACGTCATCATAATGAACACGACAAACCACAAACTGCAGGCTGCCAAATTTCACCATAGAAGGTACGAATCAATCAACTGTTCTCCTCAAAGGAGTCGCGCCGCAGGCACGCGCAAAAAAATAAGCTTTCAAAGAATAATCTTTGGAATAGGAGTATTTATCTATGGGGGATGAATTATCTCCATTTATATTCTCTTGGAAGAGACTCAAGACGAAACGAATACTTGGAAGACTATCAGAGCTAACAGACTAAAGAGCTAACAGATCATTCTGGAAAGATCACAGCCACGATATGCGATACTTAGATAGAAAAGGATCCCACGCGCGTGAGTTTGTTTGAATTACGTAAAACCGCATATAGCGGCGACAAAACTGTAAAATTAAAAGTAACTGATGACGATATCCGCAGAGGCAACCAATAACAAATTTGAAGCAGCACACGATTAGCGTGCCTGCTATCTAGTCGAACGCAAAGACAGATCGGCCAGCCCAGCGGCTTTAAATAGTAACCACTCCGATCATCGTTGCTACAGTCAAAAAGCAAGCATTTCGAATGAGAATTCTGGACCAAAAGTAGTGTGTACACGTAGAAACGTACAATCCATGATGAAATCTGGTTACTGTGGGATCCATGACGTGAATCAAAACCTGAGAGTACTGAACTACTTTCTTGAAATGACAGTATTTATAACTTCTTAACTAATGTAACGCGAAAGAATTAATAGTTCCGGATGCTTTTATCGATTACAGCAGAACGGAAAATAGATCGATAACCGCATGGGAAAGTGTAAAGCACATTATTTGACCGGAATATCATGGTAAAAGCAAATCTCTCGTTAAATGTCGGATGAATAATATGCACCGCATTTGCTACTTACCTTTCGTAATTATGTCACATACACCGTCTCACGTATTCCATGTTCCATGCGTTCAAAAACATCAAACAGAGCAGAAGGTAAAATGCCTTGATCAGACAGAAAATAGAATCCAACTGATGGCTTGAATTGACAAGTGAATATAGAAGATAAAATTAAACAACAACGCACCAATAGCTAGGTGCATGCGGAAGTGTCATTCTACACTCAGAAGTCAGAAATCCGTGACTAACAATTAGGGTCATCTCGCAATTTATGCATTCGCACGAAAGCATCGACCTCATATATACAACAAGCCCTTTACGGTTACCTGTAGTACTCAAACAGCGCCGCTGAACGACGCAGATAATGAAGTGTATCGTCAGGTAGACGGTACATGAGTGATTTGTGTGAGTGAGTCTGTTATCTGCTATCGCGTCTGTATCTCGCGCGCGTGTTAATGACTTTCTTGCCGATTGCAGTGTAAGGGACGCAAACCATTCACCTCTGCGAAAAAAAATCAATAAAACACCACCGTTGAACGTGGCTCATACAGTGTCCTTCATGAAAACAAACTTCATCTTTTCTACGCAGTTATGTGCTTTTCCTTCCAAAATGGCGGCATTAATCACTCTAACAGTCTATAATAACATGAGTAGCTTATCACTAAGATCTTGAGAGGAATAATATTCTTGGTTGTCTAATATAATGCAATTTAATGCAGTTGTGTTACATCCGTTGAATGTATAATTATTGTGAAAGAAATTGAATCCCGTAGACATCTTTACCAGGCGGACATGGACGCTAAAATTTTGTCCTTTCATGGTCCCAATTTGTTTTAAGCGGACACCATTGTTTTTCTATTAAGGAGATATTTCATTTTGGTAAACTGTTCAGGTTTGAAACCGTGTTTGGTACAATCAATGAGCAGAGAAAGTTTTGGCATACAGTCTGTTTTCGCATTAGTATTGCACTGGTAGATTCTAAAAGATATATACGGTTCCGTATGTTTCATTCTCTAAATAAATTAGCCTCTATGGAATGGCACAGTTTAGACTTTCTATGCGCTTTTGTCATCAGGTCAAGTTATAATCTTCCAAATATATTTTCGAACTTAAAACAGAGCTGACTTACATGGTTATGTGTTAAGAATTGGGATATGGAAGACGAAACTTCGAAAGTCTCTCAGCATCAGTTATATTTTTCGATGTGGGTGTGACGAACAAATGATAAAAACGAGTACCGTAGCTGACGTTACAAAGACGTCTTATGTGGAGTGATCTACTCTGCTCTCGATTTATTCCGTTGCCGATCAAAGGTCCTGAAGTGAACTCTGATAAACAAACTCTTTGACTCGATCATACACATTAGAATGATTATATGTTGCAACGAGCACTTTAGAATACTCACAACAGGATAAACGGTACCGAATACACTCTCTGTCAGTCGTCGGCTTCTCAGGAACAACTTCGAAGGTATACGTGTCTCCACGAATGAAGCAATAAAGTTATTCGGTGGATGATTAAAATATTATGTACTTACTTACGGACAGTTGTCTTTCGAAAAGGTTTTTTCAGTTTCTAATGACTGAAATATCCTTTGTGCTCGTGAATGTTCAACGGCCAGTGTGTAGGTATTGACTGCCTTAGATCACACAATCGAGCCCGACCACTTGCGAGTCCCCTTCTAACACGTACAGCTCAACTGATACCTTTTCTTAAGACTTCGCTAGTTTTAAACTTTTATTCTATTTTTGGTATTATTTTTATCACGTCCATCCTTCATCTTCATAAGATACCGAAGCAGGTTGTATTCCAAGAAATCTCTGTACGTGACGGCTAAGCGTCACGTACAGAGATGATTTCTATCTTTCCCAAATACATCGCATTTTTCAATAGCATTATACATTGCTGTCACTGATCGTGCTACATTCATAAACATTGCGTGAAGTTACAAAATAACACAAAAAATCAACACCCAACTAAACAGACAACGTGATAGAGCCGAAACTAAGCAGATTATATGAAATATATGGAATAATTATGGGAACAGCCATAAAATCTAAGAAGATACTTATTCCTTCGTCTCCAGAAGTGGCATAAAAATCCAGCCTAACGGCTTTCTTCCTGTTTGAACCCTGTCTACGCGATCAAGAAATATCGCGTCAGCGTAAAATATTTGCAAAAGGTTGTAGAAAGACCCCTTTCGAAATTTTCGCTCACCATTTCTTCGTGAGGGTCTATCGCCAATTCCGCGAACAATTGTACATGACTCGACTGCATCGGCCATGACACCGTTTGCCATACCTGTGGCCAAGTCGAGCTCTTCTCTAAAAACTTTCCAAAGCGGATTCGACCACAAAGGAAAGGCATAAAACTACGCCTTCTTTGTCACCTTACGCCGCGTGACAATGTTTACTTCGTTGTAATCAGTGCCTGCGCAGAAACGCCAGAAGTGCCCTTTATGAAGATAGACGACGACGATGGGGCATTTGAGACTTGAGCTTCTCCACAGGAAGCCCAAGTAATAATCAAAATACACTGACACAATAAAAGTTTCGCTTTGCGATTTGTGTTCTGACACAAACAGTGACTGTTTCCATATAACCATCTTTCTATTTAAACACTTGTGTAATCATAAGGAGAACCAAATCACACATTTCATAGTTATTTCTTCATTGAATTTTTCAGTTGGAACGAAATCGGCATCATGGCAACTGGGAGAGCAAGGGACAAACCACTGAGTGACAAGCGTGGGAAGATTTTAAATAGATTAAAACGGAATTTTTTAAAAGATTTGAATCCAGACGAAGTTTTACTAAGAATGGCAGCTGATTATGTATTTACCCAATCTGAAGAAGAGAAAATAGACGCGAAACCAACTCGATGGGGAAAATGTGAGGAGTTGCTGGAGATTTTACCAAGGAAGGGTACGAAAGTCTATCAAATCTTCAAGAAAGTACTCCGATCGGTTCACCCACACCTTGCATACTTAGTTTTGGAACGTGGTAGTGTTTTGGCGACAACGAAAATCAGTTAGCACGAAACGAAAGCTGTATGACTACACCTAACTGCAATTTTAGAACGATGTCTCACAATTCATCGAGATGGGGATGCTAAGCCAGTTTTTGGGAAGCGAGGGCCCAACACCTATAAAGTCTTCCTTCTTTTTTCAGGATGTTAGGATGTTACTCTGCAATTGCAGCATATTAAACTCATTACGCTACTTTCTCTTTAGTTAAGTTTAACTTTTGTAGGGTTCATACCTGATTGCGTTCCCTTCTTTCATCTCAGGTAACATGAGACTGGTAAGGGATGAAAACTCTGAGAAAGCTGACAAGACAAGACAGGCACCTGATTCAAGTAAGTTCTTAGACTTTACTTTATTTTTTTACCCAAAGAGGAGGGAGGGGGTGCTGACTCTCTCAGCGAGTCAGCTCTGCTTGATCCAACAACAATTCCCAAAAATGATTCAGTTCTTTATTGGAAAAAAAGAATACCACAGAATTCGATCTCGATACAAAGTAAACCAGACAACCGATTTTGAATTATCTCTCCCAAAATTGCATAAAACATAGCAAGGGTGATAGTAATAAAATGCCGAACGTTTTTTTTTTTTTATTACTTTTATTTAAAGTTCAAACAGTGGACTCGTCCATAAAGCTAAGAAGAAATTCTTTCCATTGATTATTCTTTAAACAACAATAATAGCACCTTATAGGCTTCTAAGAGACGCAACAGACCGAAAATAGCATCGGGCGCAGATCTTAACAATGGTGATGGGTGATAACGTGGTGAAGGGAAGGTACTGCTTAAAGATACTGTTGCCTTATCCAGCGGTGACCGTTTGGGAGAAACTTGCTGGCAGGACTTCGGAAGGAAAATTCATAAAAATATTTGAACCTTTTAAGCTCCGGGTTTTTCAAGTTAATGAATGATGTGTAACGGACAATGTACTTCGCCTTATATAATGAGTTTCATCTTCTATTCTGCAGCTGAAAACGAAGAACTGAGGGAAGAGGTCGTTATTGATAAACGATGCATGGCAATACAGGAAGACGCGGGAGCCTGTTGGCAGGACCTTGGAGTAGTTCTTGAGCTACCAGAGGGGGAACTTCACAATATAGGCAAAGATTTTCAATATGCTAAAGAAAAAGGACTTGCTGTACTTAAATCAGGGAGAAATAAGAGAGCGAGTAAAGCGACTGAAGGATGCCTTTTCGACGCCTTTGAAAGCAATGGTCAAAAAAGAATTGCAGAAAATTTCTTAGGTATGTAAATCTGTTTTTATCGTCCTAGAAAGCGGTTTGCTATAATGTAATTAATATAATATGTTTAACAGTGGCCTTCATTTGGCGTGAAAGCGTGTGCAGAATCTATGGGTTGCAGTGTGATAGCGGCGCAAACACAATTTCTTATATGCTGTTGTTGTTTTTTTTTTTCCCTTTTCAGAGTTATATCGAGCCAAACGGTAAGACAATTCCCGGCTGTGAGAAAGTTAGCAACCAACTACAGAGCTCAGTGAAGTCGAAGAGAGAAATGTTATTACTATCATGATTGAAAAACTGCGAGAATGCAAATTTATTTGTTGGATATAATAGTTAGTTGAATAAATGGGCAATGTACTGAACAATGGGCTCAAAACATTAACATAGGCTTCTATCAGCCTAAGAAACAAGGGGCAATTTAATGTGTCAACTAAATGATTCTTCATTTAATGTGAAATAGGCAAGTTGGAGTGGAAAAATAAGTTTTCTTTATTAATTACCAATAATTTATAATACTGCAGTAAATGGTTTGATCCCGGGGGTAACATGTGAAGGTGTAGTCTGATCGTCCGGGTGAGTGTAGTCCTGGGAAGGACTGTTGTCGGTGGTAGTGACTGACGTTTCGACAACCTGTGCGGAAGTCATCATCAGAGTGAACGAACTGGAATAAGAACATTCTACTGACAACAATCATTCACTTGACTCTGATGATGACTTTCGCACAGGTTGTCGAAATGTCAGTCACTACCACCGACAACAGTCCTTCTCAGGACTACACTCACCCGGACGATCAGACTACACCTTCACAATTTATAATACTAATAAACACTGTGTTATAAAATACAAGCTTTCTTATACGTCTTTTAGCGAGCTAAATCTATTACTTATGGCGTTGCGGGCCCCTTAGTACGGTTGGGATAAATATCAATTAACTTAACAATTATCTAATGGGAATCCATTGGGTTTCTGATGCGGTTTAACATCCTCTAACAGTTACCCACAGGGTGGCGTCACAAGTGATGTGACAAAGTGTCACGCCAGAGTAACTCGTAGGTCACGCAGGGTTATTTTGATAGCAGAAAGATAAATGTCAGATACGGGTTTTTCAATCAAACAATGTTGCCTCCAATCAATAAAAGTAAAACCAAAAAATGACGAGCAGAAAGTGTAATTTTCCCCAATGGACAGTGTTCAACACATCATAAACGTTTTCTGGCATCGCGAAACAGCAAAAAAACTGTCTTTAAGAATAAAAGAATTATGAAGAGATAAAACGAGAAAATCACATGACTACTGTGCAATCTAGTGCGTCGCGCCGCTTACACTCTAATAAAACAAAAAACGAAGAACAAAATATATAGTCAAAACAATAGAGCAATAACAGAAGAATAGTCGTAAATGAATTACATTACCTCAGACTAGTAAACCAAGGCCAGCTACAAGAAGTACTTCAATTGTATGATTACACTACCTATGATAAGTACAACGCTTTTGTGTAGTTTTCTAAACTTTTGATACAGTGAAACTTCTGGTCTGAGGACAAAAGGAAGGGTTAGCTTTTAGATTCATTGACCAGGATAACCTTTGGTACCTCAAATTATAAAATAAATGTGGTGGCTCTGATCTATAACAATGCAGTTTTTCCTTTTTTTTAACTTTACTGAAAGATGTGCTTGTTATGAGTCACAAGTACGTAAAGCAATATATATCAAGGTGTTTTTGAGAGGCTCAGTTGTTTCTATGGTTACAATTTTGGCCCACAAATAAAAAGAAAAAGTTATGGTAACCCAAATTGTAAGAAATATCCCAACTTGCTCAGAATATTTAGTGGCCAGTTTGATTTTCAATACTAATTTCAACTAAACGAATGTAGATGTGTGCGATCCATTACAAAAATGATGTTTATTAATAACGCATCCTTTTTTATCTACCTTTGTTAAATCCCTTCACATGTTGATGTGTGGTCCTCATTGCAACTCGACCTGAAAATAATGTTATGGTGGTGAACAATTCAAACGAGGAATCCCCGTGAATAAAAAATAAAACCAAACCTTTTCCAAATTAAGAGGAAATATTTTGCAAGTTGATTTTTGCTCGGTATTTAGAACACTTCATTCAAGACCGCGTGAGGAGTGACACCATCTTAATCTTTTGCTCCGAGAGTAAACTATTTCAGTGAGCTTACCATTTTTGCTGGACAATTTAACATTAGGGGAACATTTATCTGCACAGCTCATCGTTATTCTGAATAGGCAAGTCTTGCAAGTGCCGAACGTCTCGCGAGGGAAATTGAGGATCTGGAAGAAAGCGGCTAGCTATAGAGCACTCAAGAAGTAGGGAGAAAGACTCGACTACGTCTCGTGTTTCCCCCTACTCTTCTATCGTGCTCTGACCACTTCCTGTGCGCTTTACAACAGAAAAGAACAGAGTCGATAGGGCTTCTTCATTTGTTAATTACATGTAACGTGTCTAATTTATCTTTGTTACATCTCAAAAAGGCACGATACAAAAATTGTGTATTTTACCTCTTAACCTGACCGGTATGCATTCGCCTTAAATTGCGAAATGCATTCGCTTTCATGCGACTTTCTAAATTTTCATCTTTTCTATACTACTACCAATATAATTGCACTCATGGTAACACACAAGCTCACACCAAAGCGACCGTAAGGCGATCGTCAATATTCTTCGGTGTGTAAGAATGTACATATGATAGAGATTCTCCTTGCAGAAGAACTCTTAACATTTGACGAACAACTAACCAGATTTAAAACACTTAGTTTCACTTCTAGTTTCAACTTCATTTCCATTTTCATTAATTTTGAAGAGTTAGTAACTTTTCTGTTTTTTTTATCTTTTTTTTTTCCTATTTAGGTTGATTGTGGTTCCAACAGTGAACGCATCCGGCTCAATTCATCACGAAGTGTGTTGATGAGGTCTTTGTATATCTCAATCTCTGACCTCAGACTTGCCGTGTCCTCTCCAAGTTTTCGACTCGTTTCCGTCTGATCTTTATACATTTCCTGGAGTTCAAGGTCTAGATCAAAAGATATGAAAATGTTACTTGTTAAAATGTACAGTCATATTTTTATTATCTGTACGAATGAATTTCAGCATCAAATATTATGAAAGACACATACGATGACGTGAATTTTATAGGCAATGGAATCCATTCTGACCGGAGATGAGAGGGTATAACGGATAACTTTTATTTTTTAAAAGGTAATATAATATACTGTGACCTCATTGCTTTGGAATGAGGGAAACCCAGTGTCCTTGAGGTTGGCGCAGAGTGAAGTCTGGAGTCTGGAGCTAGGTGTTGGCCTGGCCGCAGGGCCGAGTCTTCGCTCTCATGAGTGTTTCTCTCCACCAAGGACTGCATTTCAACTTCACGCTGATAAATTGGGTACCACAAGGTATGTGTGTCCACAAACTACTCGCAAACTCAGTTAAGTCTTCTCATATTTAATCCGACTGGTTTCTAAAGACCCGAACCCTTTGATATAGGTGAGATAAATACCTCTATTTTTGCAAAGGAGAAAAATTCCACAAGGAGATGGATAATTTGACGCTTGATCAATGCTACGGTCCGTTTGCGATAAGTGTATTTTCCTCGAACTTGAGAAATATTTCTAAGGATCCTTAGGACTAATTAAATGTCGACTCCATTCTATCATGCGCAGGACAATCATGGCGGTCGGATGCAGACTCAGGCTCTCTGCGAACATTTGTATATTTCTCTGCATTTATGTGTTTTTTGTAAACTACAAGTCCTTATATCTGCAGAAGAGCACTTTTCTAAGCGACAGTGATGTGTATTTTGTCTCAAAAGTGAGCTGCAGAACTGAAATTGCGGGTAATTTACGTCAACAGAGGAATCCGTCTGGAGATAAAGAGCTTAGTAATTCGCTCAAAGCTGTTATGCTTTGTAAGCTCTTTCATCGAGCCTGTTTCGCCCTAGCTCTAATTGCTCTGGCCGGTGATATTGAATCTAACCCTGGCTACCAGACGCTACACGACATAAGGAACACTCGCGGACTGAAAATTGCTCACTTAAACATTCGAAGTCTNATATTGAACACCTAACTGGGAAAATCAATCAGAGGCTTGGGCTTCTCAAGCGTATAAAGCATTTATTGCCTTTCAGGGCGCGTTTACTTTTCTATAAAGGTCTTGTTATGCCCCTTTTTGAATATGCTGATCTAGTATGGGGCGATAAACATAATATTACCCTTATGTCTAGTTTGCAAGTTTTGCAAAATAAGGCCGCTAAAGTTATTTTAAATAGACCATTCTACTCATCCTCCACTGAGGCGTTAGCCGTTCTCAAGTGGCTGCCTCTAGAGAAAAGGCGATTTCAAAGAAGATGTGTACACGTATACAAATGCATCAATGGCCTAACTAATCACAATATGGACTTGATTAGACAAGACGTACTTCATAGGCATAATACACGTAACAAAGGCAATTTTAGATTACCGCGTGTCAAAAGAAATTGGGGGAAGCAAAGATCACAATATCATGCCGTTTCCGATTTTAACTCCCTCAGTCAGACTATCAAAGACTCAAAGAATGTCAATAGTTTTAGACGTAATGTTTTTGAGTTTTTAATATAGCTACTTACGTTTAATTTTTATTTATACTTATTTTTAATATATCTTTGATTTTTAATTTTTTATGCAGTTTTTGTATCATTTTGATCTCTTTGCAATTTTATTGCTTTCTTGTTTCTACTATATATATATCTAGTTTCGAGGTCCTTTTTGAAAACCATATCTGTTATGAAAAAGTTTCCTCAATAAAGATGATTACCATGATAACCACTCCTACAACAACGCAAAGTATCTGTCCAAGAATGGAGATAATTTTGCATGCAATTGCTTAGTTCTACTAGAGGGTACCAAGGCCTGTAACTTTTTGAAAATTACTGTGCCGCCTTTTTATTTAGCTATACAGCTGCTATAGATTCACGGGCGTACTTGTGGCATACGCAAATCAATATTCACCTCTGTTCAGCCTCCCAAGGTAAGAGTTCCAAATGTCTCAGATAAATGGAAGACCGCAATTTTTCCTCGAAATAGACCCTTTCCAAGAAAAATAGACTTTTGGGCGAAAGGTTTGCTCTAGGTGAGTTTACACTTATAGGCCTGGCGTGGCATACTGATTTCACGCGGCCTGCCTTCTAATGATGGGAAATCGGGCCCCGTAAGAGAGCCTAAATAGAAAAATTTGTCTAGTTACATTTCTCTGAGTGAGGACTCGAACAGTTTGATATGCACCTATGGTCCTATTATAGACAATAACCAATGCATTTGTGTCAATTAGGACTGAAAAGCCTTCTTGGAGCCCTAATAGGAATCATTCATTCAATCTAAATCTAGTGTTCGGTATAGGGAATCGAAAATTTTATCAGCAATCGGTCTGATGCAAAATGTGGTGGTGTCTGCGCAGTCTCCCGTATTGAGCAGTCTCCCGTATTGAGAATGGCTGCCTGAAAGGATCGAGAATCGTCCGTCAGCGACCATTTTGGTGAATTGCTCATATTTTGCCCAACGATACCCTTTGGTAAACCGTTTTCAAAAATCAAGTTTAAAAGTTCCGACGAGTGTTAATTTTTCAGAAATTTGCGAAAATTTGAAAACGCGGTTTAAGTGCGGTTTTCCGCCTGGCAAATTGTCCAAAATTCACTGCAAAACCCAAGCTCCGTTGAAGGCTTAAAATGAATTCAGTTAACACCAAACTTCACACGTTTTAAGGAAAAGTCTTCCCATTCATTTGTGTTATGTTAATTTTTTTCCGTACACAGCTATATTGTGATTTTTTTATTTTTGTCCCTTAAGCAACACCCCCTAAAAAGTACTGTACATTAGGCGAAAAAAAGGTAAAATTTAACGCGATAAAAGTATACCTGGTACATAATTTTTTAAATTTTTAACTAGATATTCGTAATAAAATGTCATTATTCAATACCTGAGTAAAATTTAAGGCTTTGAATCGGAACGCTTCCTTTTGAAAATACCACAAATGTTTGTGTCCTGAGCGAGCAAAGATATATGTTGTGTAAACAAACGCTAATCTAATTATTCCCTGCCAGGTAGAAAAAGGTTTTGAAATCAACTTTAATTTTGGAAATTTTTAGCTGTTATGCCACAAGATATTAGGTAAAAGGGAAATCATACATTCAGAGTTGCGTGAGAGCA